TTTATCTTCTTGTCACTTCTCACAGATGCCCTGTGGCCTGGCCCGCCCTGTGCTGAGAAGGGACCATCCTTGAGCAAGTGACATCAGCAGGAGCTGGACAGTGGGGTCTTGATTTGAACTAGTCTGCTAACATGAGCCATCAGTGGAGAGATGAGCCGAGGGCAAAGGTTCTTGCATCCTAGAGAGCTTCCTGGCTGGGGCAGCTAATACCTGCTTGAACCTAGAGGTCAGCTGGAAATGAGGGACAGTGAAGACAGGAAGCCAGAGGTGGGGGTTGTGCATTCTGCCTTAGGAGCAAATCTGGCCCCGTCTCAGGCTCTGTGTTTAAAGGAGCCAGTTGGTTGAGGTGGCATCATCAGGTGAATTGGATTCTGATGAACACTCAAGCTCGCCCAGGCTGGTGATCTGGCTCACCCTTCTGGACCATCTAATTGGAGAATAGTGGGCTGGCTTTGCCAGGCCAGCCTGCCACCCACCCCCTGTCACAAACTTGAGTCCATCAGGCCCCATGTGTTTGGATGCCACCTGATGAACAGCAGTGGGAATTGTGACCTTTGAACCAGGCAGGTAGCAGAAGGCAAGAAGGAGTAACTGTCCCCTGGCCTGTGCTGGAAAGAGTCCCTGGAGTTCTACACCAGGGACCAAGGCCCAGACACATAGGAGGCAGATATGGGCTGGGTCTGAGGGCCAAATGACCCAGCTCCTGGGGACCAGAGCCCTGCCCTCTCCCCCAAGGCTGGAGGAGAACACTCTGTTGAGATGCTGCTGGTGGACAGAGCTTACAGCCGGTGACCAGGTTAGGATCTAGAACTTAGCACCAGCCAGGCCCACTGCTCCTCATTCTAATAGTTAAGGGGTGGGGGGGGGGGGCACAGAACTCAGAGGAATTTTCCTTTGTGGTCTAAAAGAGAGACCCAGCATCAGAAGTTAGAGTGAGACAGCCAATAATCAAGAGTGGCATTAGAAGGATTTCTTCTGTCTTCGTCTGGGAGTCAGAAGCAGGAGTTTCCTCAACTTCCTGCCACCCACAATGCCAGTATATCTGCCCTCATACCCCTTTTCACATCTGCTGGGACACCCCACTCCTGGCCAAGTGGGGGGTGCCCCACAGGCCGAGGCAATGTCAGCCAGCCTTGCTCTCCAGATGGGACCTGCGTGTCCCTCTCCCCCACTCAGATAAGACCCTCATTGGTGACGCGTGTTGTCGGAAGTCACAGACCAGAGACTAGGTACAGGTCCCCACCTCTCAGGCTGGTGGTCTTGGCACACACCCTGCCACTTCCTTGTTTCTCCTACTTGGACTTAGTGGGTGGTAGGAGGTGGGCAGCAGTAGACTCTCCCCTCCCCATGGAAGCCTGGACTCTCTGCCAGCTCCATGGAGGCTTCTTGGGGCTGTGTCTTGCCACATGTATTCCGGGGCTGTCTTCTCCCAGCACCCAGGATTCCTGGGTCTGTGAGGTCCCTGAATTCTTTTATTTTCCCCCTAATACTCAAGTTTGAACTCAGGGCCTCACTCACTTGGTTGGCACTCTATCATTTGAGTCACACCTCCAGCGCTTCTTTTAGCTGGTTAAATGGAGATAGAGTCTTGAAGACTTTTCTGCTAGAGCTGGCTTCAAACTGTGATCCTTTAGACCTAGTAGTTAGGATTAGAGGCAAGAGCCACTGTATATATATATATATATTTTTTTTTTTTTTCCTTGCTAGCCTCAGTTTCTCCCCTCCCTTCCTCCACCCTCCCCTCCCCACCCCCCATTAAAACTATACATTTGGGTCACTCCCTAAGTCTAAAGACTTTTTTGAGGGTGGGGGCCAGTCCTGGGGCTTGAACTCAGGGCCTGGGCACTGTCCCTGAGCTTCTTTTACTCAAGGCTAGCACTCCACCACTTGAACCACAGCACCACTTCTGGCTTTTTTCTGTTTGTGTTGTACTGAGGAACCAAACCCAGGGCTTCCTGCATGCTAGGCAAGCGCTCCACCACTAAGCCACATTCCCAGCCAACCCGTAGACTTTATAACCTGGAGCTGCTCTTACCCAGTTGGCCCTTGTTGCTGTAGGGTGGTCCCAATCCTAGACTTCATTCAGAGGCCCCTGCTGGGCTCCATAGGGTATAAGATGGGTTGGGGGAGCTGAGCTATATCAGGCAGAGGTGGGGGGAGGGAAGGGGGCATCTCCTCTTGGCCTGGCTGCTAGGAAGTTGCTCAATGGAGATGTTTATTTTTGGTGAACTGGGTGGGATTTCTTTCCTTAAAAAAAAAATCCCCAAACATAAAACTTATGTGTGTGCCAGGAAGATGCATATCTTTGCTGAAGGCCCTCAGCCCAGCTGGCAGCCACAGTGTGCACCATGCTGTCGGTGCAGGGGAGGCCCTCCGTGCCCCTGGTCACGGCGGGGTCATTTGTGATGTCTTTGGACCCGTGCACCAGTCCTCTGCACTGGGCATGGCCGCCGGGCACAGCTCTTACAAGTCCATCCGAGGTGACTCTGGGTGCCCACCTCACGCCTTTCTTCAGTGCCTTGGAGAAGGAGGGGCAATGCCAGAAGCGAGATATCCCTCCCAGCTTCGATGAGGTACACAGCCGGGACAAGAGGGATCCTGAGCCTTGGCCCTAGGATCTAGACAGAGTTAAAGACCCGGGCAGGAACATCATTGTGACTTCGTATTTGTTTTGTTTTGTTTTTGGTGTTGTGCCTGGGGCTTGAACTCAGGACTGTCCTATGGCTTTTTTTGCTCAAGGCTGATGTTCTACCACCTGAGCCAGAGCTCCATTTCTGGCTTTTTAATTGGAGATAAGAGACTTACAGACTTGCCTGCCACACTCTGCCTTTCCTCCCTCATCCTCAGATCTTGGCCTTTCCCTGATTATGGTGGTTCTTAACATCTGCTACTTGGATGGTTTTGCAGCAGAGACCGGGTTCAGAGTGGTCAACTCTGGTACCTCAACGTGGACTTGTGACGAGGAAGCTTATGCCCATGAAGGGTTTTGTGGACTGCTCCCACACTTCTCATTAACTGCATGCATCCATTCTCCTGCTCTGCCGGGCCTCACAGGCAAGGGGGCTTGCACCCCCTCTGCACACCTCCAATTGGGGTCTGTCCTGCACGCCCAGACACATCCTTCCACACTTCTTCTCACTCTTGGAGGTCTGGTCCTATGTCAGGGTCCTGCAGTGCTGACGGAGCTCATGGGCTTCCCAAGCCAGGTCAGAAATGAGAGCCAATAACCAGTCAAGCCAGCACAGCCAGCACAGCCAGCACAGCCAGCACAGCCAGCACCACACACGCCAGCCTTTGCATTCTCACAACTCCCTGTGAGCAAGGGTCTGTGTGTGTGTGTGTGTGTGTGTGTGTGTGTGTGTGTGTGGTGAGCAAATACAGCAGGGGTCTGTGTGTGTGTGTGTGTGTGTGTGTGTGTGTGTGGTGAGCAAATACAGCAGGGGTCTGTGTGTGTGTGTGTGTGTGTGTGTGTGTGTGTGTGTGTGTGTGTGTGTGTGTGGTTACTAGGGTTTGAACTCGGGGCTTGTGCATGCTTGGCTGGCATTCTGTTACTTAAGCCATAGCTCCAGTTCTGCCACTTGAGCCACAGCTCCAGTTCTGCCTTTTGCTTCCTTCCTTCCCTTCTTTCCTTCCTTTCTTCCTTCCTTCCTTTCTTCCTTCCCTCCCTCCCTTCCTTCCTTCCTTCCTTCCTTCCTTCCCTCCTTCATCATCATCTCTCTCTCTCTGTCTCTTTTTCGTGCTGGTGCTGGGGCTTGAACTCTGAGCCTGATACTTTCATTGAGCTTATTCACCCAAGGCTGACACTCTATCACTTAAGCCACACATTTACTTCCAGCTTTTTGCTGGTCAATTAGCCATGAGTCCCTAGATTTGTCTGCCTAGGTTGGCTTTGGCCCACAATTCTCAGGTCTCTGCCTCTTGCCTCTTGAATATCTACAATTATAGACATGAGCCATCAGTGCCCAGTTTCATTCTGTCCTTTTATTTGTTTGTTGTGTTTGAAATAAGGTCTCATGAACTTTTCTGCCTGGGCTGGCCTTGAGCCATGATCCTCCTGCTTTCTGCCTCCTAAGGAGCTAGGGCTGCAGGCATGAGGCACCAGCACATGGCTCACCTTCACTTATAGAGGGGAAAACTGAGGCTCTTGGGGGTTAGGGAACCTATCTGAAGTGCAGAGCGGGGGAACCCTCCCCTGCCAGGCCCCAGCTGGGCAATCTGGATGGGGCCAAGCTTGGCCTCCACCTTGTCACCCTCCACACCTATGCTCTGAGCCACTAGGTGTGTGCTGCATTCTGTCAGCAGTGCCCAGCAGTGAGCTGTGAATGTGTGGATCACCCCTCTGAGGGAGGTGGGGGGCCTGCATGTGGACATCCGGGAGACAAGGGCCTGACAGCGCCCGTAGATGGCGGGCAGCTAGTCATGGCGGGTGGTGGGAAACCTGGCCCAAGCCCAATCGTTCCAACCCCCAAGGGAGGAAGGACCTCAGTGGGCAGTGTCAGGGAACTGTGTGGAGGATGGGGTGGGGGGGGGGAGCAGGGGGCAAGGGGTGTGGTCCTCAGCACTGGAATTTCAGAACACTGACTCCTGGGACCAGACTCTGCCTCTACTCTGGCCTCTTTGAGTCCCCTGAGCCCTGGGATCTGGGTTAGGAGGTCACTGGGTAGATTCTGAAAGAGCTCTTGACAAGTGAACGTTGTTGCTGTGGGGTAGGAGCTTAGCTTTCCTGGGGCAGGGTTAGGATCACAGATTGGCCAGGCCAGTTCACATGTTACTGGTCTTAGAAGGGATCCTTTCAAAGATGATGCCAAAGCTACTCAGAGAGGGAAAGGGACTTACCCGAGGTCACACAGCATGTTGACGCTAACCTGGATAGAAATTGAGTCTCCTGATCTCATATTCGAGGCTCCTCTGGGGAGAGACAGGATGGGCTCCTCCAGCCTCCCCTTCTCTCTTGCTGGGTTTGTCCATTGGTTTCTGATCTTGTTTCCTTCCCTTTTCAGCCAAAGAGAGCTCCCTGGGTGAACCAGAGCTGCCACCTGACTCCGACCCCGTGGGCATGGACAGCTACCTCAGTGTGAAGGAGGCTGGGGCAAAGGGAGCCCAGGAGCGGGCGAGCGCCGACCTGCCGAGCCCCCTGGAGAAGGCCGACTCGGAGAGCAACAAGGGCAAGAAGCGGAGGAACCGGACCACCTTCACTAGCTACCAGCTGGAGGAGCTGGAGAAGGTCTTCCAGAAGACCCACTACCCCGACGTGTACGCGCGGGAGCAGCTGGCCATGAGGACGGACCTCACCGAGGCCCGCGTGCAGGTCAGCCGGGGCTGCGGGCCAGGCTAGGGCCCCGCTGGGCGCATCCACCCCAGGCAGCTGGGCCAGGCTGTCTTCACACTGGGCAGACCCCAGAGAGGAGGTCGAAGGAGGTGGTCCCAGTGGAGGCCCAGGAGGCCACTCTGTTCCTGGCCCTCCACCGCATGAGGCCCCAGGCTCTTGACTGAAGAATAGGGGTAATGGAGATGGGAAACAGGGTTCATAACAGACCCATAGCATGGGCGAAACCCCAGTGCCCTCAACTGTCTTCTGGCCATTTTCTCTCTGCCTTCAGATCTTGGTCACACACTTGTCTGAGGGGTCTTCCTGGCCACCATGAACAAAGTAGTCTCCCCTAGACCTCAAACCCACTCAACCCTACTCCACACAACCAGAGCTGACACAGATCAGTACAACCCAAACCAAAACAACACGATACAATATGCACAACACAACTCAACTGAAGCTACTAAAACTCAACAGAACCTTACCCAACACAGATTCACCCAACACAGTTCAGTTCAGCCCAACATAGCTCAACACAATGTGCCCACCACAACCCATCCCAACATTGTACAACAGGCTCAGCACAGCACAACTCAGTAACCCTAACACAGCACAACACAACTCAGTACAATAAAACCCAACACAATAAAGCTCCACCCAAAACAACTCAATTCAATGCAACACAACACCTTAAGTTCAACACAACACAATCTAACCAAACCCCAAACAACATAACAAATCAACACAATCGAATGTAACCCAGCACAGCTTAGCACAATCCCTATAACACACCACAGCCAAATGCAATACAGGACAACAAGACATAGTCAAATGCCATACAGACCAACCAAACAAGCCAACACAGCCCAACATAACAGACTAACCCAGAACAGCATAATCCAATGCAACATAGCCCAATCCAACACAACTCAACTCAAACCAACACTGCTCAATACAAATACAACTCTACACAACACAACACAACTCAACCCAATGCAATCCAACCCAATCCAATTCAACCAAACCAGGTCACTTTCTATCATTTTATTATTTGCCCCTTTTTCCTCTTTTTTTAAGGATTGTGTGATTGGCTTACTTTATTTTGCCTGTCCTTCACCTCCCACTAGAACATGAGTTCCTTGGATGTTCATTCCCATATCCCATATGCCCACCAAGGAGAGAAGCTAGACTGTAAGCAGACCCAATGGCCCAAATCATTATCTAGAGACCAATTGCCTTGCTTTATCCAGAGGGTGAGTCCCTCTCTGCATGGAATCATAACAAAGAAAGAACCAGAAAGTGCAGATCTCTGAGTTGTCAAAATAGAGTCGACAAAACTCACTCCACTTCAGTTGCTCAAGCTTCAGTTTAGCACAACATATATGCCCAGGTTGCTTTTTCATACACTGAGTGCTAGAAGCTTCCAGGCCAGTGCTGTCATGTGGCAGACTTCCCAAGAGTGGAATGGTGTCCATATTAATCAGTCGTGCCATTCAGACCTTTGGGGCACTGGGCATCAGAACAGCCCTGCAGTCGACCACAGAGAGCTCTGGGACTGGTTCACTAAGGAATGTGGTTCTAAGCCTTATAAGATGCCTGCCTCTCTCAACCATTCTGTTGAACATGGCTGAGGCTGTAATTCAGCCCATGAGACCTCACTTGCCCAAGCCTAGCAGGAACCTCAGAGTTCTGCTTCCGTTCCAGCTGAGGGATCACGAGAGAAAGAGGAGCAGGCGGGCAAAGAGGAGATTGACTTCAAGGCATCCTCACTGGTGCTGTGTTGGCTTGGGATAAAGCAGCAAAATCTACTCAGTGGGTTGCATGGGTGTGTTGCATGCATGCTTCCTAAGAAAGAATGCCCGTTCCAAGAGCAGAACTCACTGAGAATTATGAAGCCTGCCCAGTCCTTACAGAATACAGAAAGGACACTGAGGTACAGTTGGCATTCTTTAGTCACCATTGTGTAGTTAAAACAGGGTTCTCCTGCTCACACTTATGTACTTGGGCATACTTCAAAGACAGACTTGAGGCAGTTGACAAGATAAGATTTCTCATTTTGATCTAAGATCAAGGATGATGTCATGAAATGGGAAGGTTATTATGTCCAAAATCTTGGGTTGAGCACGAACTTCAACTTTGAGCTTCCTGGCAGCAGGTATAGAAAGGGAAACTCACACACACACACACACACACACACACACACACACACACACACACACACACACACGCATTCCTATTCAATGGGAAGACTATCAAAATACAGGATGGTAGTGATAGACAGGATCACTTGATCTTCTGACTTGATGGCTGAGAAAGGAAGTCGCAGAAGCGGGAAGTGATGGCTTGAAGCTACTATCGACTCAGAAGCAGTGCTGTGCCGGTGTTCCAGTCCAGCGCTCTTTGACTCTAGCTTGCTGTACCAGGACACATGCCAGATTGTTCTTTGGCTTTTCTTTGTACAAAGCAGCAGGGTGGGTGGGATCTTCATGTGCGTCAGACCTCTGAGTTGAGCTCTGAGCCTGGCAGTGCCCTGGGGGGTTTGGGGCTGTGATGGAGCCCCTGCCGGCCTCTGTGGAGGTTGTTTGGGGCCCCGCACTCAGCTGGTGACAAGCCAGGTGCCTGGCGTCGAGTGGCGGTGGGGATCGGGAAGGGGGGTCGATGGGGTGGGGGGTCTCAAGATGGACTTTTCCTGGGAAGAAGCCTGGAGTTTGGCCTTGCTCCAGGGTGGGGTGCAGGGGCCTCTCTGTGCTGTCTGGGATTCCAATATCCACAGCTGGTGTCTGAAGACAATAAGACAGAGGCCTCCCCGCCCTGGGCCACCCCGCCCTGGCCCCAGATGGGCTGCGGTTAGCCAGGCCTCCGCCAAGACAGTTGGTTCTTTGCACAGCTCGGTCCTCGGGAGAGGCCTGTGCTGAGTGGGCCTAGGCCCGGGTGGGCCCAGGAGCGGGGTGGTCCTGGGCCTAACACACAGAAGGAGAGAATGGCTGGGACTGTGCAGTGGGCTCTGCATCCCGCTGCATAGTGGAGACAGAGCTCAGAGGCCCGGCTGGGGGTCAGAGATGAAAGACCCTGGATGTTGGCACAGAGTGGCCACCAGGATGTGCTGGACCAGCAGGCTTAGCTTTCTTCTTGGTCTGGTCAGAAGCTCTAGACCTGGGCACAGGGAGAGGCCGAGGCCAGAGGAGAGCTTCTGTAGGAGGTCTGGGCTGGCCTGCTCACCACCCCTTCTCCTAGCACCCCTGCCCCTGCCCACCTCTCAGCCTTCAAATAAACCCATCCTGGCTCCCTTCCACTCCCTCCCATGGCCAGTGCTCCCCCCCACCATCCTCACCAGATAGTCCCCCCCCCGCCCCATTCCATCCCCACCTGTTCCTCTCCTCAATTTCAGACCCCCTTGGCAGATGCTTCTGTCCCCCCTGGGGTCTTTCCTTGTCCTCCCTGTCATCCCCAGAGCCTGCACTGATACCTCCTCAGACCTCTCCATTCTCCCAATGATTGGAACCTGGGACCCCAGCAGCCACATCAACTTGCCTTGCCTTTGCCCCGCCCTGAAAGAAAGGAAAGAAAAGAAAGGAAGAAAGGAAGAGAGAAAGAGAGAGAAAAAGAAAGAAGGAAAGGAAGGAAGGAAGGAAGGAAGGAAGGAAGAAAGAAAGAAAGAAAGAAAGAAAGAAAGAAAGAAAGAAAGAAAGAAAGAAAGAAGGAGCCAGGGAACAGTATATCTTGATGCCTCTGGTGGGCTTCTCCCCTCCCCTCGATTTCCCCCCAGAAAACTCTGGGAGGCTGAGGAAGGAAAGGGCTAAGCTCAGCCTGCAGGAAATTAAACATGAAATGAAAACAAGCGCCTCTGATTCATTCTCCCAGCCTGCCCAGCCCCCACTCCTGGCCACTGATAAAGGGGGATCCAGTTTCACAGAGCTGAGCCCCCTGTGCCTCTGGCTCCCATTGGGCTGGCCTGGGCTTGCACCCCAGGGGCTCCCTGAGGAAAAGGGGCCCCAGGTGGCTCTGGGGTAGGAGCTGAGACTCCAAGCCTAGGAGAGGTTCAGACTCCAGGGAGGTCACAGGAAGGGCACATGTGTAGACATGTGTGGACATGTGTGCACGTGCACATGCACGTGTGTGCACACACATGGGTGTCCTATGCACGAAGTGGAGGAAAGCCATGCACAGTAGGGATGGAGAAACACCCTTGTGCAACCTTCCACCCTACCATTTCTCCCACATGGCCATGAGACACACAACCTCCTTCTTTCCTGACCTCTATCCTCTAGCAAGAGAGCGAGAAAGGTCAGGAGCTATAAATAAACAGATGAGAAGTGCTCTAAAAACTCTGAAGTCCCATCTGTCTCCCCTCCGCTGCTCCCATGAAGTGCCATCTTTACTCAGGGCTCAGCGCCCCATCCACAGATGCACAACCAAGGCCACGGGCGGTGCCAGTGCTCCATGGGTATTCTGTTTGTTCACTGAACTCCTGGGAGGCCCCTGGGAAGGCCACAATTTCCATGGCAACTCCTCCTCACCCTCCCTCTCCCACAAGCTGAGGCCCCTGACAGCAGGCCCGATGGTGAGTCCTTCCTTGCCCAGGAAGCTGGGAAGGTTCTCAGCTTGTCACAAATGCTCCTGCCAAGGAAAAGGGCACAGCATTCTTCTTACCTGAGACTGGGCACACATCTGACTCCCAGATCTCCCTTC